AGTTTGATCTGCTCTGGAACACATTTGTTTGTCCTTTTGGCTATCTGTGGGATCTTCAGCACTGTTCCCCAGCACCACATTATCTCAAATGCATTGATTTTCTTCCTATCACCTTTCTTAACTGTCCAGCTCTCACATCCATACATGGTGATAGGAAATACTATGGATTGTACGATTCTAACTTTTGCGCTGAGTTGTATATCTTTGCATTTTAAAATGAAATCAACAGGACTTAGAGACAAAGTATAAGGGTTCTGCAGGGAAGAAAAGAAATGTAATAGAGAGACACATGTGGGGATTTTTATTGATGTGATACTTTCAGCTGAGCTCATTTCCTTCCAGCTAATGCTCCTGTACTAGTGCAGCAGCCCAAATGGGCAACTAAACTGGCTTCCTGGTGAGAAAAGAAACAATATTCCAACTTGGTTCTTAATACACAGATCTTCTGAAGAATGTGACATTTAAAATCCCAGCCACACGTAAGTCCCAAAGCAGATTTCCAACAGGACATCTCGGTAAGCTGGGTAATGCACATTAACTGCATTGTACTTTGATTCATAATATGGCTTTTCCTTTTTAATAGGAAACCTAATATTCCCTTTTAGAGTAAATGTGTTCCATGTGTCATTACTACATACTATATGACCCCTGTATCTGCGGAGGATACTTTCCCAGACTTACTGCAGAACATCATGGATAACAGTGAACCCTATATTTCTGGCTGAAGTTGGCCACAGAGTTGCATTGGAGGACCTCCAGATGCCTAGAGACCATATTTTTTCAGATGCAGGTAAATGAAAATGTGGGTAGTGGTCTCACCGATATGAGGGTTGTACTGTAGAATTTTCCCACATCTATTCAAGGAACAGGACAGGACAGGGGTAGACAAAATGCAACCTGCATGCAGCCCTTGGGACCCCTAAGTGCAACCCATGCCCCCCCCACCATTTTTTTAAAAAATTGGGTGGCTTTGGAAGCAATAATTTTTTGCCCCAGAATCTCTCAAAACTACTGAAGCCCATCAGGCAGGGATAGGAAGAAAAAATGGCCCCTGCCCTGTTTTCAATTGCCCACCCCTGGTTGAGGACTTTTTTTGTGTGTGATTTCTCCCAGAGCAATGCTTCTCAAACTATCTGATGTGGGAGACTGGCAATTTTTGTGCCATGGACCAATATGTGGCATTGGCTACAACTTTCTTTCTTTCTTTCTTTCTTTCTTTCTTTCTTTCTTTCTTTCTTTCTTTCTACAAAACCTCTATGGACCAAAAACCAATGGCTTACAGACCAGCACCAGGCCTGGGACTACCACTATAAGTAGCACTGCCCCAGAAAATTTTTATTGATCTCATTTTATTGTACGGGTTCAGTATTGCTTATCCAAACTGCAAACAGGGCAAGGGCCATTTTTCTTTCCTGGCCCTGCCCAGCAGGCTTCAGCACTATGTTTCAGCACATCTGGCTGCTGTTTTCCAGATAAGGGATACAACTTGTATTGTCACATTTTTTACCCTTCTTCATCCTACATATGGGCTGTGTACTGAAACAAGTCTCACTTTCTGCAGTTTCCACTGGAAACCACAGGAGCCTCTTCAGCAGTTAGTGCATGCTTCTCCCAGAAGACTAAGCTTGGAAAAATTACTTTTTTAGACCACAACTCCCAGAATCATCCAGCAAATTCTGCAAGAAAGGAGGAAGATGATGTTGCTGATACTAACCTGGGATAGAAGAGTCCTTCTTGCTTCACATGATATTTTGGTGCATCTAGCACAGAACATTTATTTTATCCCATTTTATTTTATTTCCCACCTTTAACCCAAAAAATATGACAAGAAGATTTTAAAAAGTAAAGAAAAACAAAGTAAAAATAAATCCATTAAAAAACAAATTAAAAATACAGTCAGGATCAGCCCAGTTAGACTTCTTCCATTCCTCTTTTCAAGAGGAAACCAACATGCATCCCAAAGGTCTGCCTGACCAAAAATTACTTTGATTGTTCAGGGAAAACAATGAAGGAATGAAGCCAACATTCTTTGGCAGGGAATTTCAGAATTTAGGAGGAGCAGAACTTTGGAAAGTTACTCTTTGGGACTGTGACAGTGGCCATATTTGCTGGGAGGATTCCAGATGTTACAACCCAAAAGAGTAGCATTTCCAAGCTTTGAAGAGCAGCCGCCTTTTGATCCCACAATTAAAATAATAATAACAACTAGGGTCACCATAGAGGTTTTGTTCTGCTGCAAGATGGGGCCATGAGAGTAGTTACTGAAAGAATATGTATTCAGCTGCAAGAGTATACAGGCCTGATGGTGTGTGCATACAGAAGCATCTATGGTTCCATAAGTATGAAGATACACACATATCTAAGGGGAACAAGAGAAAAACATCATACATTCACAAGCAATCTGGGTATAATTTAGAAGATTATCACACTACACTCTTAAAGCATTCCACTTTAACTGCTCTGGTTGCCTCTTATAGCATTCTGGGATTTGTAGTTTAGGAAGGGGCATTTAGAATATTCAGCCAGAGAGCTCTTATGCCTCACTAAGCTACAAACTCCAAAATGCAACAGGAAACAGTCAGAGCAATTAAAGTGGTATAGCAATGCTTTAAGAGTGTAGTGCGATAATCTCCTAACTGGATAGTTTTAAATGTTTGAGTGGAGTTTTCTCCTAAATGTTTTTTGTTTTGTTTTTGTGAAGAGGATTTCATTTTCAGTAGATGCCCAATGAAATCATACTGGATACATAAAAAAAAAAATTCACTTCTGCTTAGCCAGGCCACCATGTTTAGCACATTACTGACTGGCAGCATCTCTCCAGGGTTTCAGAGACAAGACATTCCCAGCACGACGTGGAGATGTCTGAAACTGAGCCAGAGACTTCTACAGAATGTGGCTATTATGCAGTCCTTCATGCAAATGGAATTCCCTATCCAGAAGAATCTACAAATAGCCAACCTAAACCACACAGCCATTTTCTTCCACTGTCAGGAAAATTCCAGACAACACCATTGCTTTCAGGTACACTTACCTTCGACATCTGCCTTGATATATGAAAACAGGTTGAGTTCTCTTGGGTTCTCTATGAGCAAATTGGCTGCAGGTTCTAATCCCAGCTGTCTGGCTCTTTGTGCTTTAGTCCCTTTGCTTCCAGTTTTATACGGCGCATACTAGAAGAGAAAACACAAGGTATAAAGAATAAATTACATTATAAAGAAAAACAAATACAAGTTGAGTGTCCCTTATCCAGAATTTGAAAATCCAAAATATTCCAAACCCCATAAATTGTCTACATTGCTGAGCTAGTGACACCTTTGCTTTCTGAAGATTCAGTGTACATAAACTTTGTTTCATGCACAAATTTATGCACATTATTATCCACACATTCTCCACTCCTGTCCTACTAAAATAATTTGATTTACTTCTAGGGAAATAAAATATATTAGGATTGCATAGGAAAGAGAAGCAAAAATGTATTCTTTTCAGATCTGTGTTCTGGGGAGACAAGTGTTTCGTGGCTATTTGGTGGAGGTTCCAACTCTGCAGAGATCATGAACAGCAAGCAACTTCATTTTTTAAAACGTTTCTATTATTTTCTGTTCTATATTGTTTTAGTTGTATTTTGCTTTAACTTATATCATCAGCCACCTTGGGTCACACATTGGCAAAAAATGGAATATGAAATTAATTTTAAAAAGAATAAATAGATAAGGTCGCTTGCTGTTCATGATCTAATTAAAACAGTTAAAACCTCCAAAGCACAGTACAGGTCAAAATGCAGGACACTATATTAAAAGATCCTTCTAGCACTAGCAACCAAAAGGTGAAAACCTGGCTTTGGTTAAGTCTTTTTATTTCCTAAATTCCTTCACTGAATGAGAATTTGAACATATTGTTTTTAACAGAAAAAAAATAGCATTTGAAAAAGTTCCTTTTTTGAACTACCACTCCAGAGAGAGACCTTTGGGCTAGCAGATTCTGGGTACAATAGTCCAAAAAAAAATACTTTTCCAAGTTTGGTATAAAACTGCAAGCAACTGTAAAAGATATCAAAGAAAGGGCACCAATTTCATTCCTCTTTTTTTCACCTTTAGTACACCACCCCATTTTAAAGATCAGTGCTAGTAAGAGCTGGCATAAACAGAATAAGTCTCTGAGGGGGAAAACCTTTTGGTGCAAATCCATTGGTTAATCTTCACCCAACATGCTCGTGTTCCCAGGTCAGATTGAGGTTTGCCTCTTCCTTGGTTCAATTCCTTGAAATCTCAAGGTAGGGCTAGACAATACTAAAGTAGATAGCCTTATGAAAGAGCTGAAAAACTTTCAGTCCTTTGGATCTTCATGAAGTACTATCAGAGCTTGGAAGAGCTAGTTTTGAATGAAAATTCCCAGAATCCCCCAGCCTTTAGGGCACTCTGGAAGTAGTCATCCAAACTGACAACTCTTCCAAAGTTTGACAACTCTTCTCATCATGTTTGACCACTGGCCAGAGACTGGCTATGGCTGATGGGAACCAAAGTTCAAGAACATTTGGAGGGCTAAAATTCCTCATTCCTGAACTAGTGTCTAATCCCAAATTAGTCTCCTCTGTTCCTGAAAAAAAATCCTAAAATCCATAATCCTTCTCAATGAGTACAGGGTTCCTACCTGATAAAAGTCACAAAGAAAAGACAACAAATACTTTGGAGAGTGAAAACACTGCTGAAAAAGCAACTGGAGACTTTACATTTTAAAAAGAAAAGATAGAAAAGATACTAACCACATGATCAAGTTCCTCCAAAGTTTTGCAGTTCAGCAAAGCAGTTAAAAGACCTTCTGACAGTTTTCCTTCTTTCTTAAGCTTCTGTATTGATCCATGGACCTTTTTTGCTACAGAGCTAGGACAAAAGTAAACATGCTGTCAGTCAGTTAAAAACAATGTTTTTCCACCTTTAACACATATGTTTAGATCAAAGAGGTAGGAGATACCTAAATCTCATCTCCTAGATCCATACGAGAGGGCCAGTGTGGCATAGTGGTTTGAGTGATGGACTACAGCTCTGGAGACCAGGGTTCGATTCCCAACTCATCCATGAAAACCCACTTGATGACCTTGGGTGAGTCACATGCTCTCAGCCTCAGGGGAAAGCAACGGCAAACACCTTCTGAACAAATCTTGCCAAGAAAACCCCATGCTATAAAGTTGGAAACAACTTGGAAGACACACAACAAACAAAAGATCCATGTTAACCAAAGTGGTGATCCCTGAAGAAATACTGATCTTCAAAACATTAGCTGCCAGTCCTGTTGAGTTTCCACATAATTATGCAAATATTATAATAATATGGCACATGTGTGGTACCAGACCTTGACACATAGGGGGCAATTGCCAGTCTACCACATCAGATAGCTTGAGAAGCATGGTCCTAGATAACTGATCCTAATTCTCCACCTGTCTCCTTGTCCATTTTACCCCAGTCCAAAGCTTCATTTGTACGGGCTACCCAAACATTTGATTCCAGGGGTGAGCTCTATGCAGTCCATCAAAGGTATGAGGTCCCACTTTCTTCCTGCCACAGCAGAATGATGGCAATGCAGTGGCCAAGATAAGCTGAACGCTGCCTTTAAAACAAGGCCTACAGGACTATGTGGATTGTTTCCAAGTTGATCAGTGCTTCTGGAAGGCCATGATCACTAAAAAGCTGGCAAATGGTGCCCATATGCTTTGCTATAATGGTAAATTGCAGCTCCTCCATCCAATCTGATCTGCTGAAATTTGATAACCTAGTCATAGGAGATGTTAAACCCTAGTGATTTTGGGTCCCACCAATCCACAGAATTTACCAACTCCTGCCCTAAACTTACAACCCATTCTATTTAACAGAAAAGACTACTGGCGACTGCAGAGTTCTATGTCAGGGAGGGAGCGAACACACTCTAGTATGGACTATAAAGGAATTGATCCAAGGTACTTAATCCTATCCCCCAAATAGGTTCAGCTCCTTGGAAAGTTCTGTTAAAATCTGGACTAATGCCCAGAGCAGACTCATTGCCCGCTGACATGGACCCAACCAGTTACTACTGGAATGGACAATTTCACAAGCAAAGTGAGATGTGCGTGGTGTGATGTCTCCTTTGCCCTCCTTTAAAATTGAGGGTTAATTAATTAAGCTATGCCAAAACAATGGAGTGGATTATGACACCTGGAATACACTCTGCAGCCTGAACTGGAGAAACCAAGTGTGGCCAAAGCAGTTCTTTGAAAGGCAGTACAGTTCCTATACTTTGCTTCCACCACTCTATGATACTTTGCAATAAACTATGGCTTATCATGATGGAAAAAAAGCTTAGGCAAGGCCTAGTCTTGCTGCCTCTGTCCTCCTCCTTCCCCAGGGTGGTTCTAAAGAATACATTAAATGTTTCTGCTTCCATTTTTGATTAACTGCATATTGACTGGGATATTGTAACAGCTGAAAGTTTGTAGCAGAAGCTGCATCTCATGAAATAGACTCAGTAAAGGAAAGCTTCCCCTGAAAACTGCTTTCTCTCTGCCAGTCTTAATGGTGCCACAATATATCCCTTTGCTACAGATCCAGACTAACATGGGTATGTCTTCGCATATTTGTTGTTTTGCCCAAACTATAAATACCATGCTGAAATAAACCAGCTTCATAAGCTATGGTGTGTAGCTGGCTTGTTTCCAAGTAGCTAAAATTAACGTGAATCATAATGTGTCAGGCCTTGGACACGATAAGATGTGGACAATCAAAAATGGAAGCAAAACCTTCTGAACTCTTTGCAGTTTCACTGGAGAAGAACAAGAGAAACCCAAAACCAACCTAGCCAAGAAGAGGGCAGAATGTAGATTTCAGTAATTTCAGTAGAATGGCATGGATTCTGCACTCCCAATGGCTTCCCTCCCTGCCCTAAATTGTACTACCAAAATGAAGAACACGGGAGGGGATTTTTGTGATGCATGAGTTGCATCTGTTTTTGAATAACAGAACTGAACACAACTCGTAGTCTTTCCACACAAAATGATCTAAGTGTCTTTTTTTGTATCAGACACCAGTTGATGAATCTTGAAGGTTTCCTGCAAGACTGAAGCCAGCCCCATCAGTGACCTTGACTCAAAGATTCAAACTCCACCTAAGACATACCATGATTGGATCTTCCATACAAAAAAAAAGGAGCAAAAAACTGGAGGAAGGCAAAAAAATTACAGTCAGCTCTCTGTTTTTGCAGGAAATCTGTTCTGGACCCCCCCCCCAAAAAAAAACAACCCAGAGATTCACAAATATTAAAACCCCATTGATTTTAACGGAGGTCGCCCCTCCATGAATATGTAAAACCACAGACTTCAAGTCCGCAGGAATGGAGGGGCGACTGTAGAGGCAAAATATGGGGAAAGTTTCAGCCACTTTTCCCTAAAAACATTAGGTCGAAGGTAGAAAAATGGGGGAAACTTCCTTACTAGAAGGTTATTCCATTAGTAATATTTCTTGTAACTGTTTTCTATTAATATTGGGATTGGTTTTAGTATATTTTCAGAATGATGATGACAAATATATTTTGTCTTCAAGTTGACTCAGACTTACAGGAACCTTGTCATAGGGCTTTCCTAGCAAGATTTTATGTTGGTGGTGGTGGTGGTGTGCCTTCAAGTCATTTCTGATCTATGGCAACCCTAAGTTTTTGTAAAAAGCAAAAAGCACAAGCATGCATTTCTAAATTCTTAGAGAGTCTACATGCACCCTAATTATCATAGAGTCTCAGCATACAAAAGTTGCTATTCCCAACAACTTATTCTGATAAATGTTTCCAATTACCTCTGAAGCTGAGTGGGTTTCCTTGGCCAAGCAGGGATTTAAATCCTGTTCTCTTGGAGTTTTAGTCCAATGTTAAAAACTATACCAAGCTGACTCTCAACAACATTACAGAGATTATATTAATTCTTCCATTTCACCTCCAGCCTCCACCCCTAATCTGCCCATCATCAAAACGTACTATAGTTCTTCCAGTGTTTGCTGCACTTCACGCAAGGCATCAGCCTCAAGATTGTTGATAAGCTCTTTGCGATATCGGGCAATGAAGGGGATAGTATTGTCATCATTAAAGAGGCGGATTATGTTTGCGCACACCCATTCTTCGATGCCCGTCCTCTGTGACAAGACCTGCAGCAAGAACAACAAAAAGAAATCCCTACACATTAAATACAGGTTGAGTGCACCTTATCCAGAAATCCAAAATCCAAAATATTTCAAAATCCAAAATTGTCCACGTGGGCGGTTGAAACAGTGACACCTTTGCTTTCTGATGGTTCAGTGTACACAAAATTTGTTTCATGCACAAAATTATTAGAAATACTATATAAAAGATCACCTTCAACTTTAATGTTACACAAGGATGTTACACAAGGTCAACATCCTTGTGTTTTAATGTTACACAAGGATTCTTCCCCACCTACTCATCCTCCAGAACTGGGAATATGGCATTCCAGATGTTGTTAGACTGCAACCCCCAGATGTCCCAGCCACAATAGCCCATGGAGTGGAATGCTGGGAGTTACAGTCCAAAATAATCTGCAAGATCTCATAATTGCTGTGACTCCCTGGTTTAGGAAAATAAACATCATCTTTACTGCTTGTAGAGAGCATGAACTCCTAAGTGCAGCACCTCAAGTTCTCTTCCTGTGAGGCTGAGCCATAAAAATACCGATAGGAATGACTTAGCCTAGCCTTTCAGAAAGGGTGACCAAGAAGCGACATGAGAACCTGCCTACTATGAGTAGTAAGAATGTGTGGCTTTTTAAAAAGAAAATCCTGAAGCCAGAAGTCACAGCCATGACACAACCACACTCAAGCAAACCAACTCTCAATCCCTCTGGGGAAAATTTCTTAAATCCACTCTGCTTAAAACAGATCCAGATCCCTAGACTCTTGCATGTTGTATAGAAATTTTAATGGAATGAAGGGTGAGGGAGAAATTTTGAGCATGGCTCTAATTAAAAAGTTAGAAACTCAGCAGGTTTCATTTCTGAATAAAAAATTTAAATGATAAACCACAACAAATGAAACAAAATTGATCTCACACTTATACTATCTGCCTGCCTGTAGCATTTCCTAATCTTGGAACATTACTCCAAGTTTGCTAGTTCAACACACAAAAAAAAAGAGAAAAAAGAAAAAGTCATAAGAAAAAGTATTCTCATGACTTCCTTTCTGCTTACCAATATCAAAATGAGTGCCTTTTGATATTTTCTTGTGAAACCCAATAGTAATCTTAACCTTCCTGCATTGCAGTTTATGCTCAGGAGACATTCTCATTAAAAACAGAGGAAACTATGCAATTTCTTTTATAAAAATAAAGAAAAGGTCAATTTGCTTTCTGGAATACATCCAAAACTACCATTATATACAACAGAAACCAAATTTATATGCTGGTCCAGACCACAGGCTCTCTTTATGCAACACAGGTTTACTCAACCTTTGTTATGAAAGAGGAAAAATAGGATCTCATACCTGCACAATGTCCCAGTTCATTTTATGCTCTTCATCTGATTTGGCACTAGCTGCATATTTTATAGGATTCCCTTGAGGGCATGTTGCTGATTTAATTTTTTTTAAAGGAGGTTCATCAAATGCAAAATCTTCAGGCACTTCCGACTTCACTTGTTGTATAGATGCTGCAGTACTTGTGGAAGGTCCTCCAACACTACCCAGGTTGCCGGCTGGATGTCCTGGTGGGATGCTGCTAGTTTTCATTGGGAGTTTTTTGGGAGACGCTCTTGGCTTCCATTCTTTCTCTTCCTTAGGCTGCTGTAACTGCAAGTCTCCTTTATTCTCTCCAGGATCCATAATAGGCAAAGATGTGGCCTGTCCAATCCATGAAAACATGTTAAGAATACCAGTTGTTAAAATACAACAGATTCCATATTTGAATAAAATAAATTTGAACTATGTAAATTGTTTCCATTCTCCATCTCTCTTTTTGAAATGGGATTTAATTTCTTTCTTTCCCCTTCACTACGGCTGCATCTGCATTGCAGAAATAATCCTGTCTGACACCACTTTAACTACATGGCTCAAGGCTA